AAATGTTTACTCAGGATTATTTTGTTGAAAATGTACAGTTTGTTGGTCTGATGTGTATGAGGAAGGGATTCCAGATGCAGCACTGGAAGTATTTGTAAAATGATTCATACCAATTGTTGACAAGCATGCACCTGTTAAGAAACTAACTGTGAGAACTGCTTTAAAAAATGCAAAAGAGGTGGCAAACAGGTCAGGCTGCTCAAAATACTGTAAATTGAGAAATGTTGTGACTAAACTTAACAAAAATAAGAAGAAATGACATTGCCAAACAAAGATAAATTACATAAAACACAATGGAAAAATACTTTGGATGACCTTAAATGATATCATGGGCAGAAAACCCAATTCATCTCTATCGTTCATTGAAGTTAATGGGCTATTTATATTGCCAATCATTTAAACTATTTCACTAATAAAGTGGAAAAACTCAGAAGTGAAATGACCACATTGAACAGTGAACCATCATATTTTTGTATAAAATATATACTAATGAAAGAGAAGGATTACTGTTTTGAATTTGGTCAAGTTAGTATGGAAGAGCTGGAAAAACTATTGTTATCCAAATAATGATACGCCACCAGGTGCAGACAACCTTGATAGGAAACTATTGAGAATGGTAGCAGACTGTCTTGCCACCCCTATTTGCTAAATCTTTAACTGAAGCCTAAAGGAGTGTGTGTGTCCACGGGAGTGGAAGGAAGCTAAAGTAATTCAACTGCCTAAAAATAGGAAAGCACCTTTTGCAGGGTCTAAAAGCCGCCCAATCAGTTTGCTGTCTGTTCTTAGGAAACTGAAGAGGATTGTGTTTGACCAAATACAATGCTATTTTTCACAGAACAAGTTAACTACTGACTTTCATGATGCATATAGAGAAGGGCACTCAACTTGTACTGCACTTACTCAGATGACTGATGATTGCTTAAAATAAATGCATAACAAGATGATAGTTGGAGCTGTATTGTTAGATTTCAGTGCAGACTATGATGTTATTGATCATAGATTGTTATTAAAAAACTCACTTGCTATGGCTTGTCTGCCATCACATGGTTGGAAAGTTATTTATCCAATAGGACCCAGAGTGTTTTTCAATGGAAGTTTCTCTAACATCACATATGTACAGTGCGGTGTCCCTCAGGGCAGTTGCCTTGTGCCATTACTCTTCTCTATTTTTACAAATGATTTGCCACTGGTCTTACACAAAGCTAGAATGACTATGTATGCAGATGATTCCACACACTAAATGTCAGCACCAAAAGCCAGTGAGCTCACTGAAATTCTAAATAAGGAGTTACAGTCAGTATCAGAATGGGTCACTAATAATAAACTGGTCTTAAATATATTCAAAGCTAAAAGCATTGTATTTGGTTCCAAACATTCTCTTAAGACCTAAAGCTCAACTGGAGTTGTACATAAAGGGTGTGACCATTGAGCAAGTTGAGGATGCTAAACTCCTAGATATAACATTGGATGGTCAATTATCATGGGCAAGTCATATTGACAAAGTTGTTGTGAAGATGGAGAGGGATACTGTAATAAAAAGAGATTCCGCATTTAAAAAAAATAAATATATAAACTGTACTAGTTGTTCAGGCTCTGGTCTTGTCCCATCCTATTTTTTTTTAAATTATCACTTTGGTATTATTTTCACAAGTATGTGGTACATTTTCACAGCTCCTAGTACAAAATTCCAAACTGGTCATACTTGTTTTACAGCCAGTCTTTCATTCAAAACCTGTCATTGTGCATTCATTTGGATTGTAAACATCTCTCACCACACAACCATTGATTCAAAATATAAGTTTATTGTGAAATATAATGAGAAAATTGGCTTAATCACCAAAATGCAACATAATATATTTTCAATTTAGTCATTTTAACTCAAAGTTAATCAATTAGCAAACAATGCAAGATACACATTTCAAATTGCCCTTAGAAGTGTTGAAAGTAATATGCAGTAGTGTAAATTACACCATTTTCACATTAGGCAATACACTTACATTACCCAACAAAATTGACAGAAAATCTATAATTTCCATAACATCTATCCAATGGGTAATCAAAGGTATGATCAATGAAGACATCCTCTACAATCATTCATGCAACAAAAAAATAACATTTTATTTTTCAGATATAATTGCAACATAGGTGTACTGTCTGTAATCAAATGTAAGAAATTAAATGAAACAAATTAAATGAATGAAAATAAAACATAACATTTAGCACGCATTAATTTGCATGAAGCCTGCATGTCATCACATGCCTCATCCATGGCAGAATGAGGGATGGCGATCATACACCTTCAACCTCAATGCTGAAAAAAAATCCTCAATAGGGTTGAATAAAGGAGAGTACGAGGGCAGGTATAAGGTCACGAATCGGAGATGGGCCCGAAACCATGCCTGAACCACCTCTGTATGGTGGACCTGACATTGTCCCACAAAAATGACATAGGTGACCTCTTCACCTTGACAGGCCTGCTCGAGTTCATTGAGAAACACAATGAGGTGTGCAGCGTTGTAGGATCCAAGTAATGGTCTACGTCCTACCGCACCATCTTCAGTGGTAGCTGTGCACATAGAGATGTTTCCCCAATGATGTCCAGGCACTTGGACGGTTGGCTGATGAGGTTCTGCCTATGGCGCTGAGTTTTGGCCAGGTTGAAGCCTGCTTCATCAACAAAGATATACTTGTGATGGTTCACAGCAACATCAAGCACCATCACCCTCTACACATTTTGGTTAGTTCTTTTTACAGTATAGTTCCAATATGATATTGTGAAGTAGCATGTGCATCAAATAGTAACAGTAATACAGTATATAGTGCTGTACCTGAACATACTCTGCCTGCAATTGTTTCACCCGATCGTTGTTTCTCTCAAATAGGCACCAGGTAAATGTGTTTCATAGATACCTGGTACCTCTTCAAAAGGCGGGCGATTGTTGGTAGGCTGAGGGATGCCACATTGGCAAAGGTGTCATCGTTCTCCTCAATGGCCTGCTTTATTTTGGACAGCTGGTTGTCATTCCTGGCCCTCACCATTTCCACAACTGCCCACCCCTGCTGGTCGGTCAGCACACGGCCACCACCATGGGGTCTTCTGTCAATTCTGAGGGTAAAACTGTCAATAGATCATACTGTAAGAATACTGTAACATGTTTTGTGAATTTACATGCATTACAATATGTAATTAACTGTAAATATAATGGTAAAGCATAGTCCATATCCTGCAGACTTTGAGTAGTCATTATGTATGGTTATCATGTATCATACATGTAATTTACATGTTTATACTTTACAAACACATATTTTATTTCTGTAGTTCTCAATATCCATATATAGTAGACAAACCAGTTTAAAATCTATAGGTTTACCAAACAGTTAAGTGATTAACCATTAAGCGCAGTTGGATTAAGTGACGGTGAAATGTATTTAAACAAATGAGAAGAGAATCATTTGAAAAGTATTGTGAGCATTGCATTGTGAAAGGCAATTACTTTATATGAAAGTTATTTTTAGATGAAACACTGATTAGGTTTGGTGATAAAGTTACTGTGTGATTTTGTGTGTTGTACTTAGTCAATGGAAAAAGTGCTTAAAGTTTAGGAAAAACAACCTTTTTGATGATAATAATCAAATAACATTCAGCCCAGACACCCATACATACAGTTCCCCACAAGACATGCCACCAGGGGTCTCTTCACAGTCCCCAAGTCCAAAATGAATTCACAGCAACGGACATTTTTATACAGAGCCATATCACATAGAACTCCCTTCCATCTCCAATTACTCAAGCAAACAGCAAAATAACCTTTAAAAAACTGATTAAAAAACAACACACAGACACACTCTAACACACACACTATAATTGAGTTGTATTGTTTGTATATATTTTTTTGTTTTAATTGTTTGTATATCGTTGAATTTTACATTTGTTTGACTTTCCTTGTCTATCAGTGTTTTGTTACTTGTCATGTTTTGTGTTTTTTTGTGGACCAAAGGAAGAGTAGCTGCTGCTTGTTCAAAATCTAATGCGATCCAAATAAACAAATAAACAACAGCAAATGTTTTGCTGTGTTATTTGACAGTAGTAGCAGTGGTAATAGTCATAGTAGCAGTTGTAGTGATAGTCAGGCAACGTTGAATTATACTGAACAAAAATATACACGCAACATGTAAAGTGTTGGTCCCATGTTTCATGAGCTGAAATAAAAAATCCCAAAAATGTTCCATATGAACAAAAAGCTTATTTCTCTGAAATGTTGGGCACAAAGGTATTTACATCCCTGTTAGTGAGCATTTCTCCTTTGCCAAGATAATCCATCCACCTGACAGGTGTGGCATATCAAGAAGCTGATTAAACAGCATGATCATTACACAGGTGCACCTTGTGCTGGAGACAATAAAGGCCACTCTAAAATGTGCAGTTTTGTCACACAACACAATACCACAGTTTTGAGGGAGCATGCAATTGGCATGCTGACTGCAGGAATGTCCAACAGAGCTGTTGCCAGAGAATTTAATGTTCATTTCTCTACCATAAGCCGCCGCCAATGTTGTTTTAAAGAATTTGGCAGTACATCCAACCGGCCTCACAACCACAGACCATGTGGGGCTGAGGAGTATTTCTGTCTGTAAGTAAGCCCTTTTGTGGGGAAAAACTAATTCTGATTGGCTGGGCCTGGCTCCCAAATGGGTGGGCCTATGCCCTCCCAGGCCCACCCATGGCTGCACCCCAGTCATGTGAAATCCATAGATTAAGGACATTTGTTTATTTCAATTGACTGATATCCTTCTATGAACTGTAACTCAGTAAAATCTTTGAAATTGTTGCATGTTGCGTTTATATTTTTGTTCAGTATAGCATGATTGTAATCATCAATATTAGCAGTTTTGAATGTTAATTGTTGGACCACTACTGCTAATGTACTGCTACCACTACCACTACCACTGCTTCTACCACTATCACACATCCTGAAGTCAGTTGATGTGTTGTCTCGTAGGGTCGAGGAGGGAAAGGCAGTATCTACGTGTGGGCCTCTGGAGACGGCGGTAGCTATGACGACTGTAACTGTGATGGTTACGCCTCCAGCATGTGGACCATCTCCATCAACTCAGCTATCAACGATGGCCGCACGGCTCTGTACGACGAGAGCTGCTCCTCCACCCTCGCATCCACCTTCAGCAATGGACGCAAGAGGAACCCTGAGGCTGGCGTGGTGAGTGTGTGAGAAAGAGAGAGAGAGAGAGAGAGAGAGAGAGAGAGAGAGAGAGAGAGAGAGAGAGAGAGAGAGAGAGAGAGAGAGAGAGAGAGAGAGAGAGAGAGAGAGAGAGAGAGAGAGAGAGAGAGAGTACTCGCATGCGTGTATGGTTGACCAAGTTCATATCATTGTTATCCTCAGTCTGAGTACATTGAGTACACTGAGTGCTCAGATTTGTACGATTTCCATCCTTGAATCCAACCCAACAAAGACAAGGTTGCATAATGACATGGTCTTTTCAGCCAACTTTCCATTGTTCTGTGTCGCTACGAGACATTAACTATTCACTGAAGACTGAATACCTGTCCTTAGTTGTATGCAGTCTTTCTCTGTGATTGATTGAGGGATTGTTCTATCCTCTTTCATTTGAACAATCCGCAGAGATGCACGGCATTCAATCTATTCCTTATTCAGATGTATCTCAGCCCATTCAGCAGAAGAAAGGCTCTGGGATGAGACAAGGGAGGTTATAAGCCTGTGATTTCACTTTGGATGTGAAATACCAGGTGGAGATTGAGGGGGCAGATGTGTGATCAGTTATACATCCATCTTTCTAACACTGTGTAACAAAGAACATCTGGGGTCCTCGAAATATCAGGCACTGAGATAGACAGCTCACAATCTAGTGGTCCCCGATTAAGGTCCCCTCATGGTCTAGTTTTCATGGATAATAAAGGAAGATAGAAAAGAGGACGGGAGGGAGATTGTTAAACCCTTTTCATCTATGCTTACTGTCAAACAGGACATACAAGTATAAAATAGGATTTTGCTATAAGGAAGATGTAGACTAGACACAGTACATTTTACTATTGTTCCCCATTTGTAGATTGTATGTGGTCTGGGATTTGTTCAGGTTATTGTTCTTGTTAGAATACATAGAAGATATAGAAGATATATTGAGAACAAACTCTGTCACTGAAATGATCTGTAGGTCTAGAAGACAAGCCAGTTGCTCAACAACCCTGTGACTGTTTCATATCTGTCATCAGAGTAGAGGATTGGGACAATGACTTAGCAGAGACAGATGGGCTATAACTGTCTGCTTTGTTGTTATTACGGTATTTATCTGGGGAATTGTGTCACCGGGCAGAGTTATCACAAGACAAAGTGTGCATCATCTGTGCCATAGATAAATGCTCTGAGAGAGAGAGAGCGAGAGAGAGAGAGAAGACCATCTGACCTTGATGGTCATACTATAGTCATTCTGGTCATACAAATCCCTTTCACTTACTCTTTTGAGATTTCTCTTGCCACTTTGCCCTACAGTAGCTTGTTCTTCTGTTTTTTTTTTGTTCTGTAATTCGTAATTCGTAGGCAACTTTTTAAGACTATACAAATACAATTTGATTTGATCATGTTCAGTCAAGGCTACTCAATCACAGAGAATATTCTGACAAATAAATCCCCCTCTCAGTGTATTGATTTTAAAGAGATGTCTCTCTCTTATATGAGAACCGCATTTAGTGTTTTGACTTTCACCAGGAAGCCAATGACGGTTGAGAGAGCCAGGAATTCCCTCATGGGCTTCTCTCTCTCTGACTAATTGTATATGATTACCTTAATTACCTCGACTAACCGGTGCCCCCGCACATTGACTTTGTGCCTGTACCCCCTGTATATACAGTGGGGGAAAAAAGTATTTAGTCAGCCACCAATTGTGCAAGTTCTCCCACTTAAAAAGATGAGAGAGGCCTGTAATTTTCATCATAGGTACACGTCAACTATGACAGACAAAATGAGATTTTTTTTCCAGAATATCACATTGTAGGATTTTTAATGAATTTATTTGCAAATTATGGTGGAAAATAAGTATTTGGTCAATAACAAAAGTTTCTCAATACTTTGTTATATACCCTTTGTTGGCAATGACACAGGTCAAACGTTTTCTGTAAGTCTTCACAAGGTTTTCACACACTGTTGCTGGTATTTTGACCCATTCCTCCATGCAGATCTCCTCTAGAGCAGTGATGTTTTGGGGCTGTCGCTGGGCAACACGGACTTTCAACTCCCTCCAAAGATTTTCTATAGGGTTGAGATCTGGAGACTGGCTAGGCCACTCCAGGACCTTGAAATGCTTCTTACGAAGCCACTCCTTCGTTGCCCGAGCGGTGTGTTTGGGATCATTGTCATGCTGAAATTTAATAATAATTTGCCATTTAGCAGACACTTTTATTCAAAGCGACTTACAGTCATGCGTGCATAAATGTTTTTGTGTATGGGTGGTCCCGGGGATCGAACCCACTACCTTGGCGTTACAAGCGCCGTGCTCTACCAGCTGAGCTACAGAGGACCAGCCACGTTTCATCTTCAATGCCCTTGCTGATGGAAGGAGGTTTTCACTCAAAATCTCACGATACATTCTTTCCTTTACACGGATCAGTCGTCCTGGTCCCTTTGCAGAAAAACAGCCCCAAAGCATGATGTTTTCACCCCCATGCTTCACAGTAGGTATGGTGTTCTTTGGATGCAACTCAGCATTCTTTGTACTCCAAACACGACGAGTTGAGTTTTTACCAAAAAGTTATATTTTGGTTTCATCTGACCATATGACATTCTCCCAATCCTCTTCTGGATCATCCAAATGCACTCTAGCAAACTTCAGACGGGCCTGGACATGTACTGGCTTAAGCAGGGGGACACGTCTGGCACTGCAGGATTTGAGTCCCTGGCGGCGTAGTGTGTTACTGATGGTAGGCTTTGTTACTTTGGTCCCAGCTCTCTGCAGGTCATTCACTAGGTCCCCCTGTGTGGTTCTGGGATTTTTGCTCACCGTTCTTGTGATTATTCTGACCCCACGGGGTGAGATCTTGCGTGGAGCCCCAGATCAAGGGAGATTATCAGTGGTCTTGTATGTCTTCCATTTCCTAATAATTGCTCCCACAGTTGATTTCTTCAAACCAAGCTGCTTACCTATTGCAGATTCAGTCTTCCCAGCCTGGTGCAGGTCTACAATTTTGTTTCTGGTGTCCTTTGACAGCTCTTTGGTCTTGGCCATAGTGGAGTTTGGAGTGTGACTGTTTGAGGTTGTGGACAGGTGTATTTTATACTGATAACAAGTTCAAACAGGTGCCATTAATACAGGTAACGAGTGGAGGACAGAGGAGCCTCTTAAAGAAGAAGTTACAGGTCTGTGAGAGCCAGAAATCTTGCTTGTCTGTAGGTGACCAAATACTTATTTTCCACCATAATTTGCAAATAAATTCATTAAAAATCCTACAATGTGATTTTCTGGGAAAAAAATTCTCAATTTGTCTGTCATAATTGACGTGTACCTATGAAGAAAATTACAGGCCTCTCATATCTTTTTAAGTGGGAGAACTAGCACAATTGGTGGCTGACTAAATACATTTTTTCCCCACTGTATATTGCCTCGCTATTGTTATTTTACTATTGTTATTTTACTGCTGCTCTTTATATTATTATTATTATTATTACTTTTTACTTATTCTTTCGTAAAACTGTATTGTTGGTTAAGGGCTTGTAAGTAAGCATTTCACTTTAAGGTCTACACCTGTTGTATTCGGCGCATGTGACAAATAACATTTGATATGATTTGATTTGATCTCTAATTATCTGTAATTAAATTACTCATTATGAATCACATGTTTACTGAAGAATTTGCATTTTTGAAGTGTCCTCTTCTCTTCTCCACTCTCCAGGCCACCACGGACCTGTATGGAAACTGCACCCTGCGCCACTCTGGGACATCTGCAGCAGCTCCTGAAGCAGCCGGAGTGTTTGCCTTGGCATTGGAGGCCAAGTATGTACACACACACACACATTACTAGTCAGTGTCTGAAGGTCTTACAATTAGAGGAGAATATGGCTACAGCTGTTCTAACTCTATTAACATGGATGAGATGTGTTTCATAACTTCAGCTCCACATTGACTGAAACCATGGCTGTGTCATTACAAACTACCTATTCCCTTCACTGTCTTTCTCTCCCATATTCTCTCTCTCTCTCTCTCTCTCTCCCCCCTCCATTTCTATCCTTCTCTCCAGACCACTTCATATGTTCCCTCTTCACAGAATCACATATTTACCAAAGCTACCATTAAACCAAAAGACCTACTCCATGAAACAGGGAAAGCTGTTTGTTGTCTCGCCCAGTTATTATTAATTCTCTGTGTTCATGCCAGGGATACAAATCATATTTGGCCCGGCGTGTGTTCTTTATACCTCGTTACATGGCTGAAACACAAGGTTTATATTGTAGATTTGGCCCAAAGTGCACGTTCATGTTTTATAAATTACCGAATGGCCCATATACATGAACCAGAGCGACTCAGCGCTAGCTGGTGATGTAAGATGCTGGTGGAGTATTCTCCCAGCATAGCCAGCCGGGACGTGTATGTCACGATGTTGCCGAGTGAACCGGACAAATACCTCAGCCCATTTAGACAATGATAAAATCCATAATTAATAATGCATCATTTTGTTTTGGGGTTTTATTATGTTCAACAAAGATTAGCACTGTGGCAACAGCAACATTTACGAGTCTTTCATTTCATACATCATGAATTCACAGCCAATGTGAAAACGTAGCTTCATTTGGTCCTTATGGTCTCGAAAATGTAAAACATATGCTAGTGAAGTCAATTGGCACATTTGATCTGAATAATATAATAGATTTGACTTGATCGTTACTTTAGTTACTGTGGGAGCATGTAGGGTGGAGTCCTGCCACAGACCAGAGCTAGGCCAGGCTCCAGGGTACAGCTGCTCCCAGAAGGCTGGGATAAGGTCCAAAAAACTATATAAAAGTAGTATATTCTGAACATTCTATCTCAAGTACAAGAAGCAAGTACAAGGGTTTCTAGACAGGTTTCACCCACTGTCCCCAATCGTTTTCAATCTTTTTAACTCAGACAGCCTTTTTGTCATATTAAGGGCTGGTGGTTTTGTTCTCTATGCCATTAGCCAATGGCACAGACCAGGATTGTGTAAAGAGAAGCTGTTTGCCTAACACACAATAATGATGTTAGTGTCAGAGGCAGCGGATGCTAGCACTGGCTAGAGGTATAAAGCTGGTGTGTATTAGTGAGTGCCGAGACCCTTTTTACTGGCCAAACACACTTGGACTGTGTGGTATCAGGATTCAGTGAGTCAGCACAGAATAAAACTGTTGTTTCAGAGTAGAGGTAAGCAGTAGAGACGTGCTGCCAGCTGTCTCAAAGCAGACACCCTTTAATGTTCACACATCTGAGCCGTTATCATCAAAGTGTATCAAGAGATCAGACCTTCATTCCATTCATCACTTTTATGATAAAATGCACCAGAATCCATTCAGTCTCTTCTATCGGATGTGTTGATCATTTCCTTTACTTTGTGATCTAGAAGGTGAAAGTATTCACACCCCTTGGCATTTCTCCTATTTTGCTGCCTTACAACCTGGAATTAACATGGATTTTTTTGTATCATTTGATTTACACAACATGCCTACCACTTTGAAGATGCAAAATATTTTTGATTGTGAAATAAACAAGAAATAACACAAAAAAACAGAAAACTTGAGCGTGCATAACTATTCACCCCCCCAAAGTCAATACTTTGTAGAGCCACCTTTTGCAGCAATTACAGCTGCAAGTCTCTTGGGGTATGTCTCTATAAGCTTGGCACATCTAGCCACTGGGATTTTTGCCCATTCTTCAAGGCAAAACTGCTCCAGCTCTTTCAAGTTGGATGGGTTCCACTGGTGTACAGCAATCTTTAAGTCATACCACAGATTCTCAATTGGATTGAGGTCTGAGCTTTGACTAGGCCATTCCAAGAGATTTAAATATTTCCCCTTAAACCACTCGAGTGTTGCTTTAACAGTATGCTTAGGGTCATTGTCCTGCTAGAAGGTGAACCTCCGTCCCAGTCTCAAATCTCTGGAAGACTGAAACAGGTTTCCCTCAAGAATTTCCCTGTATTTAGCGCCATCCATCATTCCTTCAATTCTGACCAGTTTCCCAGTCCTTGCTGATGAAAAACATGCCCACAGCATGATGCTGCCACCACCATGCTTCACTGTTGGGATGGTGTTCTCGGGGTGATGAGAGGTGTTGGGTTTGCGCCAGACATAATGTTTTCCTTGATGACCAAAAAGCTCAATTTTAGTTTCATCTGACCGGAGTACCTTCTTCCATATGTTTGGGGAGTCTCTCACATGCCTTTTGGCGAACACCAAACGTGTTTGCTTATTTTTTTCTTTAAGCAATGGCTTTTTTCTGGCTACTCTTCCGTAAAGCCCAGCTCTGTGGACTGTACGGCTTAAAGTGGTCCTATGGACAGATACCCCAATCTCCGCTGTGGAGCTTTGCAGCTCCTTCAGGGTTGTCCATTTTTTAATAAAGGATTTAATGGTGCTCCGTGGGATGTTCAAAGTTTCGGATATTTCTTAATAACCCAACCCTGATCTGTACTTCTCCACAACTTTGTCCCTGACCTGTTTGGAGAGCTCCTTGGTCTTCATGGTGCCGCTTGCTTGGTGGTGCCCCTTGCTTAGTGGTGTTGCAGACTCTGGGGCCTTTCAGAACAGGTGTACATATACTGAGATCATGTGACAGATCATATGACACTTAGATTGCACACAGGTGGACTTTATTTAACTAATAATGCGACTTCTGAAGGTAATTGGTTGCACCAGATCTTATTTAGGGGCTTCATAGCAAAGGGCTGAATACATATGCACACACCACTTTTCTGTTATTTATTTTTTATTCCACTTCACCAAGTTGGACTATTTTGTGTATGTCCATTACATGGAATCCAAATAAAAATCCATTTAAATTACAGGTTGAAATGCAACAAAATAGGAAAAACACCAAGGGGGATGAATACTTTTGCAAGGCACTGTAGCACATGATTTGCTAGATACGCCATATGATACTTTCCTGTACTGTGCTGTAGATGGGTGGTTTTGATAGCTTGCTTGCTTGTCAAGGCGAATAGAATAGATTAATTAACATGTTATCATCTACTGCCCCTGTCTGTGAAGTACTGTAGTGATGAAAGCTTATATTATATCCCTAATGCCTGATCAGACACCAACTGGTACACACATATAACTCTCCTCTCCCCCCCTACACCCCCTCCTCTACCCTCCTCACTCCCCAGCCCCAACCTGACATGGAGGGACATGCAGCACCTGTCCGTTCTGACCTCCAAGAGGAACCAGCTTCATGATGAGGTGCACCAGTGGCGGAGGAATGGCGTGGGCCTGGAGTTCAACCACCTGTTTGGTTACGGTGTGCTGGACGCTGGCGGCATGGTCAAGATGGCCAAGGAGTGGAAGACCGTCCCTGAGCGTTTTCACTGCGTGGCTGGATCATTGCAGGATGTCCAGTAAGTGACTGGGCGCTGTTCAGACTTAGTAAATTACAGACCAGGCTGAAACTATAATTAGTACTAAGATGTTAGTTTGTTTCAATAGGTTTGTTTGTATTTAGCTAAGTCTGCTCCAGTACCTGACTGTGTGGTCCGTCTGCAGTTAGACCCAAATAGTTAGCTCTATCTGTCTGCAGAATAGGCCTGTGGGTTACAGAGTGCTTTGATGCTGATTACAGTGGGTTTATCTGGTGTGTGCTGTGGGGGATAGCCTCTGTGATATGATCCATACCTACCTGTTACAGCTGCGTGTCTGCCCCTGGTCTCCCACTACCTCCCACTCTCTTTCTCATTCACTGTACTGCATCAGCCTGTTTCTGGAGCTTTGGACTTCTGTCCTCCAGTGTCTCCCTGCGTGAGGCTCACAAGCACCCACACACACACACTATAATTAGACCCCATCACATCGCTTGGCACAGCTTGCTCTAGCAACCCTGTCAATAAGACTGAGTAACAGGCGTGGAGGGACATCATGCCTGTCTGTGGGTGTGAGGGTGGATTCTCTGTGTGTGTCTGGGGGGGCAGTCAGTGTTTGTGTGTGCGTGCGTGCGTGCGTGCGTGCGTGCGTGCGTGCGTGCGTGCGTGCATCACATCGCTTGGCACAGCTTGCTCTAGCAACCCTGTCAATAAGACTGAGTAACAGGCGTGGAGGGACATCATGCCTGTCTGTGGGTGTGAGGGTGGATTCTCTGTGTGTGTCTGGGGGGGCAGTCAGTGTTTGTGTGTGTGTGTGTGTGTGTGTGTGTGTGTGTGTGTGTGTGTGTGTGTGTGTGCGTGCGTGCGTGCGTGCGTGCGTGCGTGACTGCCCACATCTTCCCATGCTGACCTTTCAATAGAATATCACCCCTCTCATTTTCCTTCCTAATCAGTGGTCCACAGTTGGGACAGCCATGGCAACACAGCAGAATGAGAGTGTGTGTGTGTGTGTGTCTCAGAGGAGCCCAGTCATGGCAGAGTCCGTCGCTGGTATGTGTATGTGTGTCCAGTGTACAGGAGGCTGCTTTTACACTCTTGGGAACAATACGAATACGGTAGAAATCACAAGCATTCATTAGTGTGGAAAAGCACAGAGAGAGGACACAAAGAGAGTCTGCCCTCACACACGTACACACACACACACACACACACACACCTCTGGTGAATAGACATGTGGGTGGAATGTGCTCTGCTCATACGTGGGTTGTTTGAGTCAAATACAGTGGCATGGCCATCTTCAGCCACAATGGATGTCTCTCTCTATCCATACAGTCATGATATTATGAATAACATAAAGGATAACGTTGTATGGTGTCTGAGCTCTTTGTAGTTCAGATACTGGGAGATTCTAATGAATAAAATATTCATTATTCTTACGGGAAAGATGGCAGAGATGCCAGAAATGTCCCAGTTTGAAATGCAGAGGGTCTTTGATCTGAGCATTATTTTGGGCTGAGATGAGGGAAAGGGAAAGTGCAGCAGTCCCCATTGTGACCGAGAAGGAATTATAATACAGAGCATCAGGACTGGATAGCCCCTCTGATAATGGAGAATGTATCACATCACACACACACACACACACACACACACACACACACACACACCACTACTTAACATCACCGACTGCTGTGTGCGTTTCGGTCCAGCTACAGTGAGGGAAAAAAGTATTTGATCCCCTGCTGATGTTGTACGTTTGCCCACTGACAAAGAAATGATCAGTCTAAAATTTTAATGGTAGGTTTATTTGAACAGTGAGAGACAGAATAACAAAAAGAAAATCCAGAACAACGCATGTCAAAAATGTTATAAATTGATTTGCATTTTAATGAGGGAAATAAGTATTTGACCCCCTCTCAATCAGAAAGATTTCTGGCTCCCAGGTGTCTTTTATACAGGTAACGAGCTGAGATTAGGAGCACACTCTTAAAGGGAGTGCTCCTAATTTACATTTACATTTTACATTTACATAATTTAGCAGACGCTCTTATCCAGAGCGACTTACAAATTGAGTTGATGTTATATAGAAACTACATAGTAATCCTCTTAGTAAGAACAATGTAGGTAAATAGTAATTGCAATGTAATTACAGTTTGACACGTTATTACAGAACGCCTCCCCTTGAGTCCTCCCTCCCCCATACCTTGTTCCACCTGTGTAATAACCTATGGCTCTAAACAATATTACCATGTAATTACATCCCTCATATGTTTCTACTGCATCTGGACCTTGTTTCAGAACTCTTCCCATATGACAGGAGGGTAACCCAAGCAACGAAACAAGGCTAACTCATGCTAGCTCAAAGTTTACAATCTAACGCCCCTTTGCCGGCTAGCCTGTGCAGGAGTGAGCTAGCTGCACTTCAAACTGATTTTATTAAATGATCAGGAATATGTGTTGACATAAACAGTAGGCAATGTATGTATTCACATGTATGCAGACTATAATATGCTTTTGTTGAAATAGCTGACAGCAATTAAGAGACATATGACCTTAGTTGTAAAACGTAGTAATTTTGCTGGGAGAGAGAGGGAGCTGGCCGCTTTTGTTCCACTTACAATCATCGGGCCTTTCCGACGTGACCTTGGGATTTTCCATGGGTGTGGGCAGTTATTGTTGAATTTCTACTCTATGGTAGTATTGAGAGAACTTTACATTAAAACTTTTTCTTATTAGTGTTCCATGAATATACAGTTGAAGTCGGAAGTTTACATACACTTAGGGTGGAGTCATTAAAACTTGTTTTTCAACCACTCCACAAATTTCTTGTTAACAAACTATAGTTTTGGCAAGTCGGTTAAGACATCTACTTTGTGCATGATACAAGTAATTTTTCCAACAATTGTTTACAGACAGATTATTTCACTTATAATTCACTATATCACAATTCCAGTGGGACAGAAGTTGACTGTGTATGCTTGGAACATTCCAGAAAAAATCTCATCTAATCTCAAATAAATAAATAAATAAATCTAATCTCAGCTTGTTACCTGTATAAAAGACACCTGTCCACAGAAGCAATCAATCAATCCGATTCCAAACTCTCCACCATGGCCAAGATCAAAGAGCTCTCCAAGGATGTCAGGGACAAGATTGTAGACCTACACAAGGCTGGAATGGGCTACAAGACCATTGCCAAGCAGCTTGGTGAGAAGGTGACAACAGTTGGTGTGATTATTCGCAAATGGAAGAAACACAAAATAACTGTCAATCTCCCTCGGCCTGGGGCTCCATGCAAGATCTCACCTCGTGGAGTTGCAATGATCATGAGAACGGTGAGGAATCAGCCCAGAACTACACGGGAGGATCTTGTCAGCTGGGACCGTAGTCACCAAGAAAGCAATTGATAACACACTACACTGTGAAGGACTGAAATCCTGCAGCGCCCGCAAGGTCCCCCTGCTCAAGAAAGCACATATACAGGCCTGTCTGAAGTTTGCCAATGAACATCTGAATGATTCAGATGAGAACTGGGTGAAAGTGTTGTGGTCAGATGAGACCAAAATCGAGCTCTTAGGCATCAACTCAACTCGCCGTGTTTGGAGGAGGAGGAATGCTGCCTATGACCCCAAGAACACCATCCCCACCCTCAAACATGGAGGTGGAAACAGTATGCTTTGGGGGTGTTTTTCTGCTAAGGGGACAGGACAACTTCACCGCATCAAAGGGACGATGGACGGCGCCATGTACCATCAAATCTTGGGTGAGAACCTCCTTCCCTCAGCCAGGGCATTGAAAATGGGTCGTGGATGGGTATTCCAGCATGACAATGACCCAAAACACACGGCCAAGGCATCAAAGGAGTGGCTCAAGAAGAAGCACATTAAGGTCCTGGAGTGGCCTAGCCTGTCTCCATACCTTAATCCCATAGAAAATCTGTGGAGGGAGCTGAAGGTTCGAGTTGCCAAACGTCAGCCTCGAAACCTTAATGACTTGGAGAAGATCTGCAAAGAGGAGTGGGACAAAATTCCTCCTGAGATGTGTGCAAACCTGGTGGCCAACTACAAGAAACGTCTGACCTCTGTGATTGCCAACAAGGGTTTTGCCACCAAGTACTAAGTCATGTTTTTCAGAGGGGTCAAATACTTATTTCCCTCATTAAAATGCAAATCAATTTACAAAAATGTTTACATGCATTTTTCTGGATTTGTTTGTTGTTATTCTGTCTCTCACTGTTCAAATAAGTCTACCGTTATAATTATAGACTGATCATGTCTTTATCAGTGGGCAAACGTACAAAATCAGCAGGGGATCAAATACTTTTTTCCCTCACTGTACCTGGGTCAGAACTTCTGATTATCAGTGCTGCTGATGTAGTGGTCTCGGCTCTGCTTGGCTGGGTTTGTGTTTTTCAATCTTGCCTGGTGTCTCATTTCAGAAGCCTCTTCTCTCCTCTATTCTCCTCTGTATTTATTATGGTTCCCCATTAGATGCTGCCAAGAGACCTTGGTGGCATGTCTTGTGGGGTGTGCATGGGTGTCCGAGCTGTGTGCCAGTAGTTCAAACAGACAGCTTGGTGCATTCAACATGTCAATACCTCTCATAAATACAAGTAGTGATGAAGTCAATCTCTCTTCCACTTTGAGCCAGGAGAGATTGACATGCATGTTATTAGCCCTCTGTGTACATCCAAGGGCCAGCCATGCTGCCCTGTTCTTTGCCAATTGCAATTTTCCTAAGTCCCTCTTTGTGGCACCTGACCACACGACTGAACAGTAGTCCAGGTGCGACAAAACTTGGGCCTGTAGGACCTGCCTTGTTGATAGTGCTGTTAAGAATGCAGAACAGCGCTTTATTATGGACAGATTTCTCCCCATCCTAGCTACTGTTGTATCAATATGTTTTGACCATGACAGTTTACAATCCAGGGTTAGTCCAAGCAGTTTAGTCTCCTCAACTTGCTCAATTTCCACATTATTCATTACAAGATTTAGTTGAGGTTTAGGGTTTAGTGAATGATTTGTCCCAAATACAGTGCTTTTT